AAAATCCTCCTCGGGCTCCAGGTACGGCTTCAACTCTTCCCCCTCGTAGCCAATGTTGATCCACTTGTCTTCCATGATTTGCTGTGGGGCGGGGGTGGGGGGGGGCAGAAGAAGGGGAGGCAGACAGGGGTCAGGAGGAAGAGGAGAAGCCCTCCCCCCCCACTCCCTGAGGCCTAACACCACAGTCAAGGGCTGCCCGCAAGCTAGTGCCTCCTGGCGGCCCCTCCCCTCAAGCCTCCTGATGCCACCCCCTCTTCTGCATCATCTGGGCCCCTGACACCCTGTAATCATACGAGGCGCTCATTAGCTAATTACTGGATGGCAGGGAGGCCGTGAGGGGTGGTGGCAGCGGCAGGATGTATCTCAGACAGGAGGGTGCCGAAGGGGGGAGGGCCAGATGGCTGGTGGGGGGCCAGGCTCACCTCGAGAGTGCAGCGTTTGGCTGGGTTCAGCACCAAGAATCTCCGCAGGATGCTCTCACAGTCGGTGGACATGTAGAAAGGGACCCGGTACTTCCCTCTGAGGACGCGCTCCCGCAGCTCCTGGGGGGTTGGGGGGAGGGCGTCACCCCAGGAGGGTCTGCCCTACCCCCACCGCCCCACAGCCTAACTCTTTACCCAGTATGCACATCTACCACATCCACACCATACACACAGCCACAGCCACACACACACAGCCACACACTCTACATATACACACATCCTATATATATACCACACATTCTACACATACCTACCACACCCACACACCATATATATGCCGCACACACCCATACATAACATATATATAACACACAGATCCGCACCTACCATATACACACATCATATATACACACCACATACACATTCATACCTACTACATACATCCCAGACACATATACACACACCACATATAAAATAAGAAAATAAACGCCCCACATGCTATCTACCACATATAACACATACACATTGCGCACATACCACATACACATCCTCCACACACACATTACATATCACATGCATACTCACAGCCCACACCCTTATACTTCATGTACCACTATACACATACAGATCATGTTACACCTTAACACCCCTCCTATCTGTCATATGCCACATATATGTCCCACACCGCATCCACAAACCCACCATAGTCACCAGCCACTCACCTGCTTCACGTGCCACACACACACACCACATAGTAGTACGCACATTCACACCAACATGCACGCCATATACAGAGACGAATATACTTCCCATATACTACACACACCACACAAACACACACGCTTCCTGCACGCATACCACCTAAAACCACACTCACTGCCTTCGAGTCACGTAGAACTGCCCTTAGTGATTTCCCATCTTCTTCCCAGGGCGCAGCTGGTGGGTTTGAACCACCAACCTTGTGGTTAGCAGCCTAATGCGTAACTCACTATGCCCACACCCCTCTGACATGCCACCTATACCATGCTCACACCACACACATTAATATACACAGATCACATGCATACACTATATATGTCTCTCACACACGTGCACAAATTATATACCTCACACACTATTCCCCCAACCCGAACCCTCTGCCATAGAGTCGATGTGAACTTACAGCAGTTCTACACAGGGCTTCCGAGACTATAAACCGGTCCAGGAGCAGACAGCCTCTTCTTTCGCCCTCGTTAAGGCTGGTGAGTTTAAACCACTGACTATGGGGTTACCACTCCAATGTCTACCACCCCGCTCCCTACAAACATACACAAATACACACAGACCTCACTGTACCACCTGTGCGCATGCACACACACACACACACACACACACACACCTTTGCCCAGTTCCCGTCAGAACCACCAGCAGTCCTGACCAGGTGGGCAGAGCCCTACCCCTTCTTGATCTCAGTTCCCATCCGTAAAATGGGACCATAGCCTCCCAAACTTTGGCCTTCAGCCCTCATTTCAGAAAACAAGAACAAACACAAAAACCATTACCCAGCACCGGCTTTGGCAGTTAAAAACATTTGTACTTCAACCCATTAAAAAACAAACCAGCCCATAATGCATTGCCTTTGAGTTGATTCTGACTCACAGTGGCCCTGGATAGGACAAGGTAGGAGTGTCCCTGTGTGTTTCTGAGACTAACAGGTTTTTTTTTTTTTAGAGACGGTAACTCTTTACGGGAATAGAAGGCCTCGTCTTTCTTCCACAAGGCAGGTGGTGGTTTCAAACTACTGATCTTGTAGTGAGCAGCCCGATGAATAACCACTACACCACCAGGGCTCTTGATTTAAAGTGTAGGCATCTGTTTTTGCAGCTCCTCCTGGACTGTTCCAGCACAGCTCTCCAGGGGGCAGTATGGCCCACTTTGGAACACACTGGACTAGAAGCTCCGCCCGCCCTGTTTCCAGAGGCTAGGATTCCCAGGCCTGACTGGCATGTGGTCACCAGGAGCCCAAATAAGCGACGGGAAATAAAATATACCCCACACATAACATGGGGCATGGCTGACCAGGAGGGAGGGGTCATGCATGCTGCCTACAGAATAGGGTGGCACAAACTGAGGAGTGAGTGCATACATGGGGAGGGGCTGCTGGAGTGGAGCCCCTGCCGAGGACTGGGCTGGGAGCTGCCTTGGGGAGCAGCCTCTTGGGGGGTAGTCCTGGTCTGGGGATTGTTGAAGGGGCCGACGTGAGATCAGGGCTTTTACTCGACTGATGGCCGTGTTTTCCACAAGGCTGGGTTGTAGAGTCATGGTCCCTGGCCTCCTGTTTGGGGACACCAAGGCCCAGAGAGGGTAAGTAGCTTGGCCAAGCCCCCACATCCAGAGAGCGATGGGGCCTGGGTTCACACCCAGGGAGTCTGGCTGTGTAATTATGTCACCTTGTCACAGGATGGTGATGAGGCAATCAGGCCACCACACCCTGGCAGGGTGCCAGCCCCCAGCAACCGGCTTTCTGTCCACAGGCTGGTGGCAGGTGGATGCTCTGACCAGCCATGTCCAAGGTCACACAGCAAGGACATGAATAGTGTCAGTGTCTGCCCCAAGCAAGGGCGGGGCTGGCTGGTAGAAGACTCGGGCCTGGGGGGCACGGGGACGCTTGCCTAGCTGTTTCAAAGCCCTCCTGCTTTGGGGTGCAGGAAGACAGTTCCTTGAAAGGGGCTCCCCGGGATGGCTGCTACTTTCAAGGCCAGGGGCTGTGCTAAGTGAGCAGCTTGCACCCTGGAGGCAAGGGGTCCTTGAAAGGTTTCTATCAGGGTGGGTCACTGACAGAGGCACAGGAGGCAGGGAGCCTGAGGCTTGGAGGGGTGTTGGCCACCAAGAGGGGAGTCCTTCCTCTTCCTCACTCAGGTGTGCACCCCAGTAACCTCTCAACCCAAACTTCCCCGAACCCTGTTCTAAACGGCAATGCTCTTCCCAGGGAGCCCACTCCTGCTGCCTAATTCCCGCCCTTTAAGCCTTCACCCTGGATGGATCTCGCAGGGACATCAGAAGGCCCACCCTGAGCGCCACAGTCCACAGCATTGTCCTCCTGCTGCTGGCCAGTCAGTCCCCGACTCGCAGCCACCCACACAGCGTTCTCAGGGGCCGATTTTCCACCAGATCACCAGGCCTTTCTTACGCGGTGCCCCGTGGTAGACTCAAGCTGCCGGCATTCCCGTTGGCAGCTGAGCGCTTCCAACGCTTTCAACCGCGTGCGCCTCCCAGGGCTGCCTGCCCTCAACATGCCTCCAAGGTTCCTGTGTGCTGTGGCACGTGAGGGTGGGAGCCTGCCAGCCTGTCTATGAAGCCTATGCCAGACCCAGACACACAACGGGTGGCCACTGCAATTCCCTGAGAAGGAGAATGGGAACCGAGCCACCTTTGGTGGCGCAGCGGGTTACGAGGTCAGTGGTTCGAAACCACCAGCCACTCCGTAGGCCAAAGGTGAGGCTTTCTACTCCCATAAAGAGTTACAGTCTCGGAAACCCACAGGGGCAGCTCCACCCTGTGTCTGTGCTCTGGCTCCCTGTGAGTCGGCATGGACTAGATGGCAGTGAATTTTGCTCGTTGTAGAGCGCACGCCCTCCGGCAGGGCTCACCGTACCCTGGGTGGCAGTGGGGACAGGGGTCGTGACCCCTACCTTGCCGTGTAACCTTAGGTCCACCCCACCCCTCTGGCCTCTTCAAGGAGACCTTCACTCAGAGAGTAAGGCCCCCCCGAGCCCAGCGCTGGCCGGCACCTTGAGGTTGTGCCCGTCGAAGGGCAGGGAGCCACTGACGAGGGTGTAGAGGATGACGCCCAGGCTCCAGATGTCCACCTCCGGCCCGTCGTACTTCTTGCCCTGAAACAGCTCTGGGGCGGCGTACGGGGGGCTCCCGCAGAACGTGTCCAGCTTGGAGCCCAGCGTGAACTCGTTGCTGAAGCCGAAGTCGGCGATCTTGATGTTGGCCTCGGCGTCCAGCAAGAGGTTCTCGGCCTGGGGCGGGGGCGAGGGGAGGGCAGAGGTTGAGGGGCGTGGCCCGGGCCCTGTGTGAGACTTTACCTCTCTGTGCCAAAGCGAAAGCCAAATTCACTTTTCCATTCCATTCCCACTCACAGGGTAGAACGGACCCGGTGAGTTTCCAAGACCGTAACTCTTTACAGGAGTAGAAAGCCTCGTCTTTCTCCCTGAGCACGGCGGGCAGTTACTAACGGCTGACCTTGTGGTTAACGGCCTTAACTCATAACCGCTACGCCACCAGGGGCGCCCCAAACCAGTTACCTTCAAGCTAGTTCCGACGCCCAGTGGCTGCAATGAGCCAGAGTGGGGCGTTTGCTGGGCTGATCTTTCTCAAGTACGTGGACAGGCATGTACTTAAAACTTCCGGTTAGCAGCTGAACAAGTTAACTGTTTATACCGCTCAGAAACCCGGACAGGACCACATGAAAGGCTGTCAATCTCCATGGGGAGCACATGACCAGGTCTTTCTCCCAAAGAGAGGCGGGTGTGTTCGAACCGCCGACCTTTCAGGTACAACTGAGAGTTTAACCACATGCACAGAACACAGACAATCTCCAAATCTCGACCTCAGAGGGTTGACTGCGGGTTCACTGAGGTCACTCCTGCAAGATGCCGGGAGCATCCTGCATGCCGACCACAAACCAGCCCACTGCCCTCACTAAGTCGGTTCCGGTAGCCCTGGGCAGCTCTGGCCTCTGAGTGGGTCTCCCTGTTTCCAAGCTTATTTCGATATCACCCCCAGTTCCTGTCCATCCCCTCCTCCCTACCCCCCTACTTCATCTGCAAACCTGAATTTCACGGAGCAGACAGGCACTGAGCCAGCCTCAGGGCATCCACCTGATGGCCCTGCTAATTCCTTCCACCCACTTCCCGGCCCGTCCACCAGGGCGCGCCCCGCTCCCAGCCTAAGCCCCACTCTTGTTACACACTCCGTCTTGGTGGAGAAGTGGATACAAAGAGCAGCCATCGGAAACCCTGGGAGGAAAGACTTCTTGGGAACCTACAGGGGCAGTTCGACCCTGTCCTACAGGGTCGCTCGCTAGGAGCCGGCATCGGGGATGGCCGTGAGGTTTTTTTATTTTAATTTTATTGTCCTCCGCTCTAGCACATTCAGCAGGCGTGGCAGGTCAGTCGGTCAGACCGGTGCGCATCAGCGCAGAAAGAGAGTGAGTAATTTAGACACTTCCAGAGCAAGCTGACAGGGACATTTCAGACCTTTTGAATTAAAATTTTATTTTTCAAACAACAGAGCTTGAGTTTTCCTTTTTTTTTAAAAAAAAATTATATACCCCCTTCGTTTCACTTTCTCCCTCTGTGCCTTGTTTTTTAAAAGCCTTCTAAACTTGATTGTAAAATAGATCATGAAAATTGGCCTATTCAGCATTTTTCACACCTGCCATTTAGTACCGGCTCAGGCAGCTCCTGTTTCTAGACATTTCTCCCAGGGGCTGGCACATAGCAGCTGCTCAAGAAACGACTGTCCAACTTGATTTTGAACTAAATGCTGGCCTCTCCTAAGAGGGACCACTCTCCCCAAAGGGAAGGTGTGGAGGGTGACCCCAGAGAGACCAGGGACCCCAGCAGGTGGCCGGGCTCTAGCCCACACTAGCTTCCAGATAGTTTGTCCTGATTATGGATTGACTGAGGTTCCCTGGTAGCACCGAGGTGAAGCGCTCGGCAGTTCGAAACCTCCAACTGCTCTGCAGGAGAAAGACGCAGCCCTCGGCTCCCGCAGAGACGGACAGCTGTGGAAACCCTGCCGGGCAGCTTCTTCCCTGTCCTCCGGGGTTGTTATGGGTTGGAAGGACTCCATGGCCAGAGGGTATAGTGTGGTTTTGAGACCCATGGGGATAATTCCATTTTGGAATAGGGCCCCCAATGAAGCCTTATCAGCATACAGTGTATTAAGCCAATCATTTTTTGTTTGTTTGTTTTTTAAAGCCAAGCACTTTGGATCGATAAAAAGAACAGGTTAGGCTCAGAGAAGGAAGTAAGAGATAGAGGAAGAAAAACAAACAAACAAACAAACAAACAAACAAACAAAATAAATGGAGGAAGATAGATGTCCTGAAAGAAGAAACTGGGTCCTCCCCACCCCAACCCCCATCCCCCACAGAAAGAGCCGCTGCTGCCCTGAATTCAGACATAATCAATCCTCCTAAACTGTGAGAAAATACCTTTCTGTTCACGAATGCCTCCCCCTTGTGGTATTTGTTACGGCAGTACCAGAGAACTCAGATACCCGTCACCAGTCCTTCCTAAGTTCTAAGATCCCTGTGATTCTAATGCTCTGAAGGTGGTGGCACCCTGGGGCTCTATAATCTCAATGCTGCAGGAATCCAGAAGGTCCTACAGCCTGAGAGACGCCCAGGCCCTGGAGGTTCTGGGAGGAGAGAGAGCACTTGATTCACATCCAGTGCCCTTCTCCCATACCCAGGTAACAACATTCCGGCCGAGTCATGCGTCCTGTCCCCACACCCGCCTTGCTTTTCCCACATAAGCTTGGGAAAGCCCAGGGATGCTGGGTGCTGAGGGAGGGGCAGTAGGGGGGCTGTGGGGAGCGAAGGGTTCTGGAGGTTACATAGGGCGGGGGGCTTACCTTCAGGTCCCTGTGTACAATGTTTTTCTGGTGACAATAGTGCACGGCAGAGACAATCTGGGGG